CTTGTGCTCAGTGGACAGGCGAGGTGGAACATTTACCTGAACATACCTTGACCTTCAACCCTGCCTCCATCCTTTTCTTTACCTTAGTCCTCTTCAAACCCTGCTCAGTCCATGGTACACCCTTCCTCCCTGGTCCTTCCACAGTCAGGATGAAAGAGGGGGACTCTCGGAGTGTGGCCCTAATCCCTCAAGGAACCCAATTCCACAGGCTGTCACATGAGTGCTCCCTACACCTCCTAGGCTGCTAAGCACACAACCCAGCTGACACACACAGGGGCAGTGGTCACTGATCCACACCTTGAAACATGCACATCTCCCCCCTGTGCCCTTGGGTCTCTGTGATCTCAGGCATGGTGGCTTCACCCCCATCTGGTGAAGTTCTCAGCTGAGCAGCACCCTCACCTGAGGGCATTCAAGGCAGGCAGAAAGACAAGCGAGTCCAGAACAGTAACAAATCAACTGAGTGCACCAGAGAAACCGGTCTCCGGACTTCTTTGCTTTACAAAGTAAAAATACAGACAGACGCGCCCTTGACCACAGAATTTGGCTGGAACCCATGACAGCTCTCCCCACCACCGGATTCCATTCAGCCACTGCTCCTTCCTTAGGAACCCCGTCTGAACCCTACTGGCTCCTCTGGGGCACACATCACCTACCTGCTGGGTCCCTGATTACCAGGACAGCCCCTCTGCTGAGACCCTGGGGCCCACCCTCAGCCTCCAGTCCCTGCCCTCTCGGATCATCTCAGAGACGCAGTCTCGGTGGCCCGCACCTGGCGCGCGGGAGGCTCGGGAGCAGAAGCCTGATGAATGAACCCACGTTAGTCGGGGGAGGGTTCCCGCGGGGGCGGGGCTTGCTTAAAGCAAGTTCTCGGAGGAGGGACGAACCGGGTCCGCAGAAAGCGAAGAGGAGGGCCTTTTAGGCCGAGGAAGCGGAGGCTTTCGCTCCTACACGCCTCCAGCACAGCCACCTCGGGGCCCCTCACCTGCAGCCCGGGACCCCGGGCCGCGGCTCCGTCCTTCCCGCCGGGTCTCCGGTGTCCTTGCCGAAGCGGGATCAGTGCATGGGCCTGATGGTCCCCGGCAGTCCGAGACCAGCCTGCGGACCATCCAGAGCTCCGCGCTAGACTGGAAGCCCAGGGAGGCGCCTGGAAGGCGACGCGCGGCCTCAGCCCCGTGCGCGCGCTGCGGGCGGCTCTGCGCGGGCCCTGCCGGGGCAGGCCGCTCTCACCGCCGCCGCGGATCCCGCTGGCGGCCGCTCAGGCCCCTCCGCCGCCGAAAGGAAAGGCCGAGCCCTCCGGCTCCCTCCCCTGGGACACTTCCTGCTCCGCTCTAGGACCGAGGAGGTCTCCGCATCTCAGTGGTTCGCTCCCCCCGCCCCCCGGCCGAGGTGTGCGCGGGGGGTGACATCCGACACCCCCGGCCCAGCCGGCCGGCGCGCTCGGCCCCGCCCCGCGGCGCGCGCCCAGCCCCGGGCGCCGTCCGGATTCCGAGGGCCTGCTCGGGCGGGCGCGGGGCTCCGCGGCTCCTTGGGCCGGCCGCGCCCGCCGGTCTCTCCTGGGCGGGCGCCTGGCGCACACAGCTGGCACCGGGCAGGGGGCAGGGGGCGCGATGGGCAAGGGCCCGCGAGGGTGCGGTCCTCCCCGCTCCTCGCGCGCCCAGGCCCGGGCGCCGGCGGGGGGCTGTGGCCCTCCCTGGGCGGGAGCGGGGTAAGCAGAGGCGCGCGGGGCGGCGCGCGCGGCTGGTCCAGGGCGCTGTAGGCAGAGGACCCGCGCCGGTGTGCTGCGCCGCGGGCCGCCGCGGGTCTGGAAGAGCCCCTAGGGGTTCTTTCGGATGCTCTCTGACTGGGGCGTATGGACGCCTGGTAGAGCTGGCCGAAAGCCAGAATTGGGGTAGGGGGCGTGAGGCACTAGTCCTTGCCGATAGGCACAACCCCCTTCCAGCCAGAACCTTTAGTCCGAGCGTGCCCCTCCCAGGCGAGGAGGGCTGGAGAAACTCAGGATCCCTCCCCTTGTCCACTGTGCGGCACGGAAGGTATCATCCCGCGCCTTCCATGCTGGCGCGGGTGTACAGTTGCACAGTTTAAGGACCGCGGTGCACACGAGGACCCTTGCGAGCAGCGGAATGATCATGGGGAGTGCTCAGGCACTCCGTGAAGCTAGCCTGAGTGAAGGTTACTTGGTGCAAATGGCAGAGAGAGGACCAGTGAGGGGCAAGCAGAGCTAGGGCCTCAGACCCACAGACAAGGCACTATGCTGAATATAGTCTAGATTCTCAGATGGATCTTCCCGGAGTCATCCTTAATTATTCAGGCTCCAGAGTTTCGGAGAAGGCCTGTCCCCAGTTCCAAACAGTTCTCATGTCCATGACCCTTTTTCGTCTGCCCAGCAATRGAGTTGGACTCTTCCACGGACGGAAGGCAGAGAAAATTCTTCCAGAGGATTGCTACTGTGGGTTACTCTGATTTTCTTCAGATGCTATTTCAAGGACACAGGTGTTATGGGACAGGCTATATGGACAATGACCAGACTCCATTTTGCCCGGAGACTCCATGTCATGTAAGAAATGCTTCTCCCTTGAGAACACCCCAAGGGAGTGTGAATAAAGGTCCCATCTTAAGCTTTAGGATCCACCCGGTGATTTATGGCAATCTCACCATAACACAGGGAAGGAAACAGGTCCTCCATTTTCTATGGTCTGGCCATGTAGAAGTAGGGGAGAAGGTTACTGGCCCGTACACTGGCTGCCTCTCTCCGGTCATTCCATGAGCCTTGGTGCCACTACTTGCCAGAGTTGCTAGTCAAATGCCCAGATTCTGCGACTTTAGCAGGAGATGGACCAAGCAAAGGAGAGATGTTCCCTGAGGACAGCCAGAATCTGGCAGGGCCATCTGGAGATCTTACTCCTTCTTGGACATGTGGACTCAGCATTTGCAGGATTCAGGCACACCCACCTCAGAAGCATGGGCCAGGAACTTTGGCCTGGAGGAGAGGCATGCAGAGGAGTCAAGGATCATCAGCAAGAGCCGGCAGGCTTAGGTGCTTTAGCAAACAGCACAGCCTTTGATGCTCTGCTGAGGCCTGCTGGAGCTCCTGCCTGTGATTGGCCCAGGAACCGCTGTTGAGTGTTTGGGAATCTATGCGCATAGCGATGCCCCCTAGAGCCCCAAAGCAAATAAAATGCTGGGCTCAGAGATGGCTGGCCCACAGCATTTGGTTAATCCTCACTACCCACTCAAGTCAGTTTCTTGCCCACCTGATATTTCCTTGCATAGGAGTCCCTTTCCCCATTAATCTTTTGTGGCTCTGAATATGCCCTTACTTCATGTTCATGTTTGTTTTTTGTTTTTTTTTTTTGCATTTAACTCAGCATTTGAGTCAGGACTCACTCATCAAGTCCTAGCCAGCCAGGTGATTTGAGGCCTGCATCACCTCTCTGTGCTGCAGTTTCCTCTTGCAGAAACAGGGATGGTGCTGATGCTGACTGCCTCATTTTGTGATTGTGTGGGTCCTTCTGTCATTCAACACAGGTGTGCAGAGCACCTACTGGGCACTCCAGTGCAGGCCCTGGAGTGATGCTCTGCTGCAGCCTGCTGGAGCTCCTGCCTGTGACTGGCAGGAACTGCTGGGCACAGCTAGCAACCCTGGAGTGGAGAACCAGCCCAGGGAAGGGAAATGTCAGCTCCAGCCTCTGGAGAGCCTGGGGAAGGGGAGAGGAAGGGTCAGGTACTGTGGCCATGCTGTCATCCTAGCATCTGGGGAGGCTGAGGCAGGAGGATCACAAGTTTAGGGCCAGCCTGGCATCTTAACAAGACCTGTCTCAAAAAGGGTTGCAGATGGAGCTCAGGGGTAAAGCACCCCTGGATTCAATCCCCAGTATGGGGAAAAAAAAGAGAGATGATAAAAATGGAAAGAAAAGGGGGAAGAAGGGCAGGAGAGGGGAAAGGAGGGAGACAACCTCCCACCTTGAGGTAATCCTGTGCACAGAGCCCTGGAATCTTAAAGTCAGATACTTTTCAAGGAAGAGGAGGAGTCATTGGAGGTAAATGCTGCTGCAAAATCAAACTAGTTGAGCAAAGAACACTGTCCCAGGGTTTGGGAGAAGGGCCCCCGAGCAGAGCAGTGGAGAAGCTGCTGGGTCACTGCACACTGGAGAGAGGGATGTGTCCAGACTACCCAGTGTGCTCCAGAGCCCACCTTCCAGTAGAGGAAGAAATTGCAGCACTTGGCCTTGAGGAGGTCGGAGGCTCTGCAAATCCAGAGGGGTTCAGCAGGACCTGGCAGGCTGCTTCCATCTTCCTCAGCCCTCCAGTAAAATAAGTAGGAGGGCTGGGGAAAGAGCTCTTTTGGTAGAATGCTTGCCTCCAATGCACAAAGCCCTGGGTTCCATCCCCAACATCACACACACACACACACACACACACACACACCAAAAAAAGGAAAAAGGTGGGTATGTTAGTTAATATGCCAATATGGGTAGGCTATAGTAACCAGTTTTTGTTCAAATACCACCACTGTAGATGTTTCTATGAAGGTGTTTTGAAGATGTGACTAACATTTAAAACCATAGACTTTGTTGGTGTGTGGTACTGGGGATTGAAACCAGGGTCTCACACATGCTAAGCAACTACTCTGCCACTGACCTACACCTGTCCCATATCTGTAGACACTGAATAAAGCATATTTCCCTCTGTGATGTAGGAGGGGCATCCAATCCATTGAAGCCTTGAGAGCAAAGACTGGGGTCTCCCGAGAGGGAGCTCTGTCTGTAGTCGGCCTTCGGAGTCAGGCAGTAGCACTGATGCTCCCTGTGTCTCCTGCACATTTTAAAATTTGTTCTTTTTAGTTACAGACAGTAGAATGTATTTTGACATATACATACAGGGAATATGAATATAACTTTTTTTTTTTTAAAGAGAGGGGAGAGAGAGAGAGAATTTTTTAATATTTATTTTTTAGTTCTCGGCGGACACAACATCTTTGTTGGTATGTGGTGCTGAGGCTCGAACCCAGGCCGCACGCATGCCAGGTGAGTGCACTACCGCTTGAGCCACATCCCCAGCCCAGGAATATAACTTTTCATTCTTGTGCTTAAACATGATGTGGAGTTACATTGGCCACGCATTCACATATGAACATAGAAAAGTTATGTCCATTAATTCTACTGTCTTTCCCATTCCCTTCCCTTCATTTGCCTTGGTTTAATCCAATAGACTTCTAGTCTCCCCTCCCCCTTATTGTGTATTAACATCTGTATTTCAGAGGGTTTTTTTTCCTTCTGCCTGCAAATCTTGGACTTGCAGACACCCACAATCTCATGGGCAATCCTTAAACTAATGCAGTCTCAATCTCTCCACTTTCCAATCCTCTTCCTCCCCTCATAGCCTATTCTGTTTCTTTGGAGAACCCTGACGCACAAGACCCTCAATTGACAGGGAAGAGAGAATGGAATTGGAGGAGCATGAAAGAGAAGGTTTGAGACTACATTTTGCAGAGAGTGGGGGTGAATGAACTGCAGCTGTGGAAATGATAAACCATGCCCAACATGGAAAGTGCACTACGTATAGGAAGATTGGATTTGCAACTTTTCTAACACCCAGTAAGTCATGGGAGGGCCACAATACATCTTGAGATCTCCTCTGGGGAAGGGGGGCCAAGGTTGTCATTCTATAAATATGCTCATGGGTCAGTACAAATATAGGTGTGGAAAGAGGTGCAGTCTCGCCACCTCATCCCAGGCCAGCCATGTGGGCCTTCCCTCTGTGGAAGCAGTGCCCACAGGCCCCAGCCAGGGCCTGCATGGCCAGCAGTCCTGGTAGGTTTGTATGCTCTCGGCAGCAGGGGAAGACTGCAGCCTAGATCCTGGGCACAGCAGAGGCTGTAGCTTAGTGGACTGTCCTGGGAATAGCAGCACTAGTTCTTACTGTGACTGTCACCCTCAGCCTTTCTGGAGGAAGGCACTAATCTAGCTCCAGTGTCCACAGGAGTGTGGCCTGTGGAAGGGCTCAGTGAGAAGCCAGTGGAAGGAAAGTTCACTTGTTATGTGGCTTGCATGCTGGCTCTCTCACAGAGGCCGCTAATTTTTGTTGTTTTCTTTGCTTATCTCCAGGCAGGCTGCCTTAGCTGGACTGTTCACAGCACCTCTGAAATGCCCACCTTTCCCCACAGAGTAAGGTGACACCTTGAAATCCCATTAGCTATGTGTTCAGGAAGAGGACAAGGACTTAAATATCAGCCTTCAGGAACTGTTCTTTTTGTTGTTGTTTGCTTATTTGGGTACTAGAGATTAAACCCAGTGCCACTCTACCACGGAGCTGCAGCCCCAGGCCTTTTTATTTGTTTATTTTTGAGACAGGGTCTCCCTAAGTTGCTGAGTTTGGCCTGGAACTCACCATGTTCCTGCCTCAGCCCCCCCACGTCGCTGGGACTACAGATGTATACCGCTGCACCCAGCTCGGGTCACCTGTGGCCACTCTGCACCCCCGCCCTCATATCTAGCTTGTTTCAATTGAAATKAAATTTGAAGCCTCAATCTCTCTCACATTTGTTTTCTCCCCTGTGTTCCCTGTGAGAATGGCTGACACATTCTGATTCCATCTCAGAGCACAGACTGGTCCTAGATTCCAGTCTAACATGTGCCCCAACTTCGCCTCCCAGGTCCCACCCCGGGGTCCCTCACCTTGGGGTAAGGTGTTTCCATGAGTACCTCCTGCTTGTGGTTTTCATCCATTCAGCCTGCTCATTCAGCAGTTTGCCACAGGACCGTGCTGTTTTCCATCTGACAAGAGAGTCTCATGTCTATGAGTTTGGCCTGGAACTCACTTGCTTTCCGAGTCATTTGGTGGTGGGAGATGGTGGATTCATTTCTCTGTTTATAACTGTTGCTATAACACCTGGCTCATATGGATAACACCGAACTAGAGATCATTAAGGTCCTTTCTTATCCATTAGATCTGCATACCTACCATATTTTCTAATGTTTGGCATCTCTTATTTCAGTTTATCTGTTGCCCTTTCTGCTGCTGAACACTGTCATATTTAATTATAGGTGTCACCTTTTTTTTTTTTTTTTGCTGGGATTAAACCCAGGGCCTCATGCATGCTGGGCAATTGCTGTATCACTGAGCTATATCCAGCCCTTTTTATTTTATTATGAGATACAGTCTCACTAAGTTGCCCACTCTGACCTTGTACTTGTATTCCTCCTGCCTCCCCAGTAGCTGGGGTTAAAGGTGGGTGCTACTGCAGCTGGCTCTATGTGTCCACTTGTCTGGGCTAAGGGACACACAGATACCTGGAAAAACACTTTTTTTTTTTTTTCTGGCTAGGTGCAGTGGCACACGCCTGTAATCCCAGTGGCTCAGGGGTCTGAGACAGGAGGACTTCGAGTTCAAGGCCAGCCTCAGCAACAAGGAGGTGCTAAGCAACTCAGTGAGACCCTGTCTCTAAATAAAATACAAAAAGGGGCTGGGAATGTGGCTCAGTGGTTGAGATCGAATGCCCCTAGGTAACTGCCCCCACCACCCCGCCAGCACCCAAAAAACAAAACAAAATTAAAAAACCTCACTTTTTCTAGGTGTGTCCATCAGGTGTTTCCTAAGGAGATTGGCATCTGTGGCAGGAGACTGAGCAGTGAAGATCTGCTCTCACCAGGACAGATGTTGTTCGGCCCAGGGCTGCTAACCCTGTGAACACACTGTTAACAGTGAGCCCCAGTGCACTGCTTACTGATCACTGGGAAAGAACTTGGAGGATGCAAGGAGACATTTTGGACATTTTTGTTTGTCTGTTTTTGCACTGGGGATTGAACCCAGGGGCACTCAACCACGGAGCCATATTCCCAGCCCTTTTTTGCATTTTATTCAGAGACTGAGTCTTTCACAGTACTTTGTAGTTGCTGAGCCTGGCTTTGAACTTGGGATCCTTCTGCCTCAGCCTCCCTATTGCTGAAATTACAGATGTGTGCCACCATGCTGTCCTTATCACATTCTTTAGAGACCTTCTTATCTAACTGCAAATTTTCCTAGGCAGGGATGAATAGTGGTCATTATCAATCTCTGAGAGTTCAGCTAGAGTAAAAAGGCAAGTGAAGCTGAGTGTGGTGGCTAAGAGGCTGACTCAGGAGGATGCTAAACTCAAGGCTAGCCTCAGCAATTTAGTGAGATCCTGCCTCAAAATACAAAAAGGGCTGTGGATGTGGCTCAGTGGTAAAGAAAAAGGCAAATGATGGGGGAATTCCTGTCTCCTCCTGAGCTAGAACATTCACCTTCTGATTGTGAACTTTGGAGCTCCAAGACTTTAGGCCTTTGGACTCTGGCCTTATACTAGTGGCTTCCCCAATCTCTGGAGCTTTGGACCTCAGGCTGAGTTTAGCACTGGCTTTCCCAGTCCCACAGATGCAGGCAGCATGTGGTGGGACTTCTCGGCAGTCCTGAGCACCTAAACCAATTCCCAGAATTTCCTCATAGCTATATCTATCCATATTCATGTCTACACCTCGTCTATCACATTCTAATTGTTTCTCTGCAGAGCCAGAAATAATAAACACCACCTAACGGTTATTTTTTTTTCCCTCATTATGAGGCATTCTGAATTGCATCTAAGTCCTCCTGTATTCCAAGTAATTTGCTTAATCTTTTGAACACAGGTGATCTGTCCCAGGAGTCCCTGACACTGACTCACTACTGATTCTTGTAATTTTGTGGTGTCCTCCACTCTCATTTCCTCTGACCCGATTTGTAGCATGTGCAAAAAGCATTGGTGAGGAGAGTCTCAATGATGGGTAGAACCATGTCACTTACCAAGAGATATTTAAATTCTAACTTAGGGTTTCTGTGACCATGACCTTAATGAAAAGCTCAATCGTCATCCTCGACACCAATCCAATAAGGAAGACAAGGTCTTGAGGGAAAAAAAAAAAAAAAAAAAAAGATTTGTTGCTTTGCTAGCAAAGGAGAAACACAGGGGACTCTTGTCGTAAAGGCTGAGATTCTGCCTATCAGCAGGAACAGGGGGCTTTTATAGAGATGATTCAGAGAAAATGAGATTAGGGAGGAAAGATTAGGAAGAAGTTAGGGAAATGAAGATCAGGAAGTATAGGGAATAGAAGATTGGGAAAAAGAAAAAAAAACATGCAAATTTCAAAGCCACAAGGGATATAGTCAAACCATCAAGTGAACCCCTGTTACTATTCCTCAATATCAATTTCTACATTCTATTTCTATGGAAAGTGGGCAACAAAGTCTCCAAGCTACTTCCTGCTGAAAGGGAGTGAGGTTGGGGGATGGGTGGCTGACAGTCTCTAAAAGCTGGAGGCTTCAGAGGAAGTATGGTCCTTGCATTGATGGGCAAAGATGTGACATATTTAGTCAAGGTGAGAAATAAAGAATGTCCACTGCTAATGCTCTTTTCAATGCTTTATTCACTCAGCTCACTCAATACAATTTCACTCTATAGGTTCTTAATCAAGAAATGACAGTGTTTAAAGCTAGGCATTGCAAATATGATAATTCAGACTGATAAAAGCACTAAACACAACATTCTAAGTTAACTCTAAGCACTGCAAACACAATCATGACAGACCTATTACAGACATTCCCTCTGCATGCTAAGCTTAAGTGAAGATTTAAAGTCTTAAGTCTCGGGTCTCAAGTCCAGCAGATCCACATTCACTCAGACCACAGTGACCAGGTCAGGAACCGATGACTCTTCTCCTGGTGTGGAGTTGAAGGCTGGCTGAGGAGATGGTTGTAAGGAGAAGTTACCTTTCTCACCAGGGTCAGGAGGCTGCTGTAGAGTTGGAGAGCGGTGAGAAGGATGCAGAGGATCAGGCAGATGATGAGAAGAGCTGGGTATCAGTCCAGGTCCTTATCAGGCTCTCAGGCTTGTGGGCATGAGAGCCCACTGGCTGAATGTCTGTCCTTTTGTTCTATTATTTATATAGAATCTAGGGGCTTCTGCATCCCTTTTGGCCCCTATCAGCTGTTACCAGTTTTGTTAGTGACATCTTAGAGAGGACATATGGTCTGGTGGATTCCACCGTGATATTACCCTTCTAGCTCTTATCACGGATAAGGCAAATGGCATGTTTATATCAAGTGAGTTCACTGACTCTTATCAGGGTTGTGGAAAGTGTCTTGTTTTATTAGGCTATGCCTAATGACATATTGGAGGGCCCTGTGGGCTTGCCTGGTAAGACTTCAGGTTTATTTTAAAATGGAGTTGCTTAGACTAAGGCCAACCTTACAGTCCTGCGAATACCTTGGTTCAAATACCAGAACCCTGAGAAAGTAAATTATTACTGTCTACACTTCATGGTTTCTGGCGATTTGTTATGTAGCCCTAAGAAACTAACCCTTGCAGCCAGGTATGAAGACACATGTCTATAATCCCAGCTACTTAGGAGGTGAGGCAATAGGATCAAAAGTTTGAGGCAACTTAGCGAGACAATAAACAAATTATGAGATCCTGTCTCACATTGAAAAATAACAAGAAAGGGGGCTGGGGTTGTGGCTCAGAGGTAGAGTGCTTGCCTAGCATGTGTGAGGCACTGGGTTCAATCCTCAGCACCATATAAAAAGATAAAATAAAGATAATGTGCCCACCTATAACTAAAAAAATAAATATTCTTAAAAAATTACAAGAAAGCCAGGCATGGTGTGCACGACTATGGTCCCAGAGACAAGATGACTTGGGAAGGGTCTGCAGCTAGTTAAGTCAACCAGGTTCCTTTACCTGGAGGTCCCAGGGTACAATGGCTACAAAGGGCAGTACTCTGGTAGAGTATGCATGTTTCTTTATGGGTGGTCTTAAGGGACTTGGGAGTGAGCAAAATAGACAAGCAGTTACAGAACTTTAATCAGCTTGGCCTTACTGGGAAGACTCAGTATCTCAGCCCCACCTTGGGATGCTGATGGGAGCTTTAGTTTGAGGTACATGGTGGCCTGGGGCAGGGACAGGAGCTCTGTGGAGCGGTCAGTTCTGGTTCTGAGAAGTGGCTCTGGAGAGATCCTTAGCACTTGAGGGAGCACTTCCCAAATTTCCAGTTGTGGCTCAGGAGGTCTGTCTGTCGGACATGTGGTTCTGGAAGTCTCTAGGTACTCACAGGGGTCTGAAACAGGATGCTGGAATGTCCTGAAAATCTGGCCTCAGTCTTGAAGGAGTGATACAGTTACTGTTGACAGGTCCTCCTTCCCCACATGTTGAAGACTGAACATTAGAGAAGCAGCCAAGGCAAACACAAAGCAGGGTTTGTCTAAAAAGGGGTAACCT